AAAAAAAAAAATGAAAAGGGTTGCTGTAAAACACTGTCTGTTCACGTATCTAAAGTTGAAAAAATAATCATGCTTATTGAAAGCCTTTTAAGCGGGGTGAAAAGGGTAAGGCGGGATTACTGTTGTGAATTAGAACAATGTCATTGGTTAAAAAATACGTTTTTTTTTTTCAAGCCGTAGAATCTTTTTTGTTTGATACAGTGATTCAATTCTTTTTATTTTTCATTACTTAGAATTATCAATTAATTATATTTATTGATATAATTAACAGTACACTGCATAGAAGTTTTGAAAATGACTATTTTTAATAAGAAATTTTGCTGCACATAACATTTAAGGAAGATATTTACCTGTTCTATGAATTATCACTTACGTGCATTGAATACTGTTTTTTTAGGTTCTTTTATGATGGTAACATTTGCAACCTTCGTCAGAACTAACAAACTTTGACTAATACGATAAATAAGTAAAGGTTAGCAAAAAAGTTGTGTCATCAGCACGTCAAAATTTTCAAATCAGCTCAGACTAAGGTCCTTACCTTATTTTTCCTTTTCATCTCTGATTCATGCAACTTCTTTATTCTTGGTTCTCTTGTGAGTGTTTTTTTGCGCCAAAATATTTGATTTGTCGTATGTATTTGGTAAAATTTTATGATTGTAAAAGTTTTACGGTAAATCCTTATTCAGAAGATTATGCATTTCTGTAAAGGAAGTGTTTTCAGGAAAATTGAATGGTTTTTCTTCGCAGCATTGTTTCATCAGCTTTTGTTGTTATCTGAAATCACTAAAGCAATCACTATGATCGGGTCTTTTTAACCGCTTTGTTGAGGGAGGAATAACTATCTTCAACTCGAATTTAAACTTCCTGAACGGTAACCAGTTTTTTTTTTTTTTTGCAGTTGACAGTTCGTTTAATTCTATTATTTGGAAACACTGTGAATTTTTTCATTGTTTTTTATAACAGTTTAGAACGGCCAGGTATTTCGTGGAATTCACTTAGCTTTATTCCCGATTCTTTAACGGAACTACACTTCAACCACCTCGTTACTCATCCAGTGGTTAAAGATCATAATGCACCTAGTGCAGCTTCATTTCTGTTTGATAATTATTCTTTTCTCACCCACTCTCATTAAGAGTTTGGTCACATAGATGCGTTTTGAAACTTCAGTTTTATTGAGAGGTCATTTTGTGCAAACGAATTCGCATTAATTTTTTTAAATTTATTTTTTTTTTTGTGTCTAGGATTTTTGTGAGTCTTTTTACATATTGCCCCAAAACTTCTAGAATTTTTTCTCTAAGAATCACACTATTTGGGAAAAAAGTTGGAAGGAGCATATTTTTTGAGATTTAGTTGTTTGTTTTATTGGTTCATTGTTTGTGATATTAACTGCAATTTCTAACTGCTCTGCTGAGGACTATATTATAAGCAGCAGCATTTTGCGATTTTTTTTATTGAGTCATTGATACCGAGACCTTCCGAACGAATCCGGTCACTGAAATATAATTAGCAACAATTTCGTTTCACTCAGACTGACTCTCTTTTGATTCTGGCACTTTTTATTATGTTGTTATCATGTTTTCTTAGACTTTCCTGTCGAAATAAAAAAGAATTTTTTATTAGAAGCTTGGCGGGAGAAACTTTAAGGCAAGGGGTTATGTCAACTTACGATATTACGTTTTGTTTTGAGGAAAAAGTTTTAGTTTTCGAATATCTTTTGAAATTTGATTTTTTATTTCGGTGCTTTAACCCAGCTTTGTAAAAAATAACTAATTTGTATTAAAGTAATTTGTAGATACTTATGTTTTTCTGACCTTCTTAATCACTAGGTTTTAAGTTACAGCACTTTTTTCTCTACCTTAATTTTTTGAATATGAGAAGTAAATTTCTCGAATTTTGGTACGCTTTTTTAAGCTAGAATTATAAGCATATTTGTTTTCTTTGATCAGTTACGCAAGATTACTTAACAGCTCTCGGACCGATACTGAAAAACCTCTTTAGATTACGTGTTTTTTTAAATTGTTGAATTAAACTAAATTGGAAAGGTTTTGTTGTACTGGGAGACATTTAATTGTATGTCTTAATCAACTTATGTTAATTCAAAAGAAGCGTCGTTGAGGTTCGTCCCCGTTTACATGCGCTAACTGCACTTTTTTTTGGTACTTAGTTCAACTTTTTTCTCCATTTTAGCTTTTCTTATGCATGGAGGAGGCTCTTGAAGAAAGTTTCGCATGTGACTGTATAGTTGGAAAGCTTTGCGAAGCACTTCCTGGCACACCGGGGTTGAGAGGTACTGCTTTTTATAAAATTTTTTATTTACTCTTCTCTTTTCATGCTTTCTGCTCGTAACTCTCGTTTAGCTGGCGTGATCCCGTACAGTGGCGTGTACGATACGCAAGATCAAGCTCGTAAACAAGGCTACTGGATTCCTGGTGTGCCAGTTAAAGCGAGAATTACGAAAGTTGAACGCGACACAAAATTCTCATTAACATTACATTTGATAAATGCTTACCTGTGAGTGACATTATTTATTTGTAGCAATTTAAAAGTTTCAAATCAGGTAAAGTTACTTGTCTTGATTTTTTTATTCAATGTTTCTTTTAAATTCTTTTTTTTATGGAAAGCTATAGAAATTGAGCCTAGAATTCAAGTGGGGCATTTTTCATGGGGCTATCTAGT